TGCAATGAGTTGGAATGAGAGGTAATCTATTTGTTTCATTTTAACTTATTGCACTATTTCAGTAGTGCAGTAATAAAGAACAGGCCTCGAGTCTCCCTCGCACCGACGATAGGCGGAAGTACGACTGTAGAGTGTAGGTTAGGTTCTCGGGAGCGCGTAAGTAGATCGCTCTCGTATCCTCCGGGAAGCTCGCCGCCGCCGTCGCCGTTGTCGTCACCGTCATCCTCATCCTCGCCGTCGCCGTCGCGTGCACCTAGTGTCGTGCGTGCTTTCCTCCTCCCGCGCCCCTGTCACCGCTCCCTCGCACGCCTCCTCCACGCGGCGGACCCTCCTCAGGCGTTGTTTGGGCGACCCGCTCGCCGTCGTTTGTCTTCGTGCTTTCCTGTGACTTTCGCTTGCAATGCGCCTCTGTGAGACCCCTTGGAGTACGTCTGACTTCCCCTTTTGAGGTGAGTTGTGCCAATACAGCTGCATATCTAGTTACCCACTTTTATGCCTCGCAAGGTTTCCCTTTGTCCGAAGATTGTTACGGGTGATACAAATGTCATTGTTCGATCTCTTTGCTGGCCATTCCTGCGTTTCAAAGCCAACGTACATGTAGATCTGCGGTAAGAGCATAGGGAGCTGCGGGAAAGATACAATTTTAACAAACAGACCCGTTTGGAATAGTTTACATTGTTGTAACTGTCGTCGGCTAAAACGTCTACCTGTTTCCAGTTACCTCGCTGTTACCGAATACAAGCCTGGCGGGCAAAACCATGGATCAGACGAGAAACAGGCCGAGCAGGCCGCGACTGCGGTCCTACGGCAATTCCACTAAGGTGCTCGTGTTTGATCAGAGCGAGGCTGGAGAAACTGTTAACGTGGAAACGGAAATGCAGAAACGTCCAGTACTGCCAAAATTGGAAAGCAAGGAGGCTTCAGTTCGGCCCGGTCAGTAACGTTTTTGATAATTTGGAAGCTGGCATTATTTTGTCTTGTGTTAGAGTCTATTCAAACATGCGGGAACGAGGGAGAACGAAATAGCACAAAACAGAGTGCGTCCTTTTCTACATGAACCTACTCCCACTCACAAACGCTCGGTCTAGGTATTGGCCGGTATTCATAGTCCGTTCTTATATTTAAGATCATCTCAAGTATACTCTTGATGTGTTTTCGACCAATCACAGCCGTATTAGCCTCTTAAGACAACACTTAAGATGATATTGAAATAAGACTCGACTTTGAATACCGGTCATTGTCTACATCAACAGTCGTTCTTTGGCGGCCTCTTATCTTTTCCCGGCGGATTGTACGGTACAGACATGCTGCTAGCTGTCATTTATTTCTTCTGTCATTTGGTGGTGAGTCATAAGCTCTCCTACAAGCATATCTGCTCCCTACTAAGCAGAAAAAAGAAATAGATACACTACATATGTTTATACCATACATGTTATATTATTTGTCTCTTACAGCGAAGATTGATCTGTTAGATAAGTCTATGATTGAACTTATCGTAGGTTTGACTGTATTTTCGTAATAGCTTAAAAAATATAACATTATTATACAATGTATTATTATTGTTTCAGAGACTGTGTTGGGCATATTTTTATTTCGAGACACTTCTGGCAGAGGACGAGGAATGTCGGCAGTGCTTTCGACAATTTCGCAGCTTGTGCACGACCCTTTTATTGCCGATGGAGGGTATTGTCAGCGACAGTGCCAAAAGTATACAAAGTATTGTCGACCGCGACACGAACGTTGCGCGGAAGTACGGATACGCGGGAGGTCATCGATGGAATGCGATCAGCGCCGCGGAGATATTCGAGCCTGTGCTCGCTTACTGGGAAAAGCGCATGGACAGTTGGACACCGACAAGAGCACGCTCGAGCGTTTGCTCGACACTGGCGTCTTGCTGGAACTAATGAATTTGTACACATGAACAGAGATGAATTTTACTCCACGCACGTGTCGGTCAAATGCAAGTCGTGCCTGGGCAAACTCTGTACAGTTAAGAGGGACTTGTACAACGCCGTGGTGATGAAATGCAGATTCGTCAGTCTAGTATGTAAATTTCCCGTTAAAACTCTGCCGGCGAAAGCGTGCGCTGTTACTAGGAAAATTATGAAGCGGAATGTCGAGTGGATCATTCGTGAAATGAAGGAATCCGAAGGTAAGCGCAGGATACAATCGTGGAACACGTGTCGCAATTTAACTTACAACGTAGGCGTACTGTCTGAACATGTGTACGAGGAAAGCGTGTGTTTACTGTTTGTTCACCTTCTTGTGCAGTTGCATCTCTCGACTCGACGGAGTCGAACCGAGCCCTACAGATTCTGAGAGCTTCAGGTATCTTGAGAATATTATCTCTGGACAACTGGACGACTGCGAGGTGAAGCTGCAAGGTCTCGAGCACAGTAGCAGAAGTGTGATCATTACTTATTAATGTAATATTACTTCTAGATTTTTAATATCATTAATAATAATAGTATATTTATAATAATAAAAACATTTTGATTTTTTTAAATAGAGTGTATCTACATATATGAGATGAGCTGCAGGTAATAAAGTTTGTTATCTGAAATACGGATGTACATATAATATGAACTTAATAATTATCTAAAATTATTTGTATATAGTTAACAATTAACTTCATATTATGTACATCCGTATTTCAGATAATAAACTTTTATTATCTGCTTTATTATCTGCACCTGTTCCATATAACCTATAAATAATATCTTTAGGGCAACTTTCACCAAGCTCCGGTTAACCCACCGGTCTAGTAACATGCAGGATTGCAACCGAATCTGATATATTTTCTCAGATTTTCATCAGATTCGGTTGCAATCCTACATGTTACTAGACCGGTTGGGTTAACCGGAGCTTGGTGAAAGTAGCCCTAAAGCCCGCTGCAGACGATGCTATTTTTCCTGCTGGATTGCTTGCAATTTAGTAAATTACTAGGAATCCTGAATGCTGAGTGGTGCAATGATAGTAATTTACTAAATCGCAAGCAATCCAGCAGGAAAAATAGCATCGTCTGCAGCGGGCTTTAGTCCCAGTCTACAATAGATGATTTAAGCCCTAAGCTTTAAGAAATTGGCCAATCACGGTCAAGTATGAGAAGAATGCGCGACTGTGATTAGTCAATTTCTTAAGGCTTAGGGCTTAAATCTCTATTGTAGACTGGGACTTAGGATGTGTTCGAAAATGGATTTAGTTACTGCCAGTGAAAACAGTATAGTTGGTAGCAATGAAAATTACTGGTGCTGCGTTTTTTGCACGCCAGTAAAGTCAGTAAGGCTGGGTCTACATTTGGATGTCGTAAGTCGTGTCGGAAGGAATTGACCAATCACAGTTCATTATTCAACTTACGACATCCAATGTAGACCCAGCCTTATTGACTTTACTGGCGTGCGAAAAACGCAGCACCAGTAATTTTCATTGCTACCAACTATACTGTTTTCACTGGCAGTAACTAAATCCATTTTCGAACACATCCAATGTCGACTTTTTGCTGTTAGGGT